AGGGAGGGCAGTCTGGGGAGGCGTGTACCGTCAGGCAGGGAGGGCAGTCTGGGGAGGCGTGTACCGTCAGGCAGGGAGGGCAGTCTGGGGAGGCGTGTACCGTCAGGCAGGGAGGGCAGTCTGGGGAGGCGTGTACCGTCAGGCAGGGAGGGCAGTCTGGGGAGGCGTGTACCGTCAGGCAGGGAGGGCAGTCTGGGGAGGCGTGTACCGTCAGGCAGGGAGGGCAGTCTGGGGAGGCGTGTACCGTCAGGGGCTTCTTGATGGCCTCTTGGATCTCCATCCGCTTGCGAGCGATGGTCTGGTCCAGCTTCCTCTCAAAAGCCAAGAGGTCCATGTACGCCTGAGACTCTGGGACAAGCTCCCGGATCTGCAGATTGAGAAATGCAGCGGCTTGCTCCACCAGCTCCAGTTCTACAGTCCTTCCTCCCTTCCCCATTGCAGGATTGGGGAAGATGGCTCTGATGCTAGCCAGCCAGAGCTGGGCAGGCTTCCTAACACACTCACTCGCTGAGGTAGAACCTTATCTGCCATCTTCCTCCTCTTTAGCCTAGGAAGGAAACAGAAACCATTTAAGAGGTTAACAGTCCAAACTCTCCATCTTCAAAACCCTCTCCCAAATTGCCAAGAGTCTCCTTGGGGTCAAGGTAGAGGGAAACTGAACGCCAGAGATGAGCTAGCAAGGCACAAGAATGTCTTACCCTCGGCGCTGGGCAGGCATTGGGGGCTGGGCCTGAGGCACAAGCAGGCGTTTTCGGAATGGATCCATCATGGTAGGTGGCATGCCAGGTCGAAGCGGAGCAGCTGTGCCAAACGGGGAGCCAGCTGGAGGTCCCACCTGCAAGCCAGCCATGGGCATCCTGCTTCCTGGTGACATGCCAGGTCGCTGGGTAAAGTGGAACAGTGGGGGTGCACAGGTCAGTGGCAAAGCCCTACGAGGTCCATAGCCCATACCCTCCATCTCTCTCGAGCATGGGGAGACCTGCTGGAGACCAGGAACAAAGGGGAACAGGCGCCTGAGCCCAGCGTGTAAACCACACCTGCCCCGCCCCTGCAACCGCCCTGGCAGGCAGTGCCAACAAATGAGGCAGCCAGAGTCCATGGGTGGGAGGGGAGCACCACTTGCAGAAAGAAGGGCCTGGGGAATTTTTTAGGACTTATCACCCCTTCCCAGCTTCAATATGCCATGTCCTGCACCCTGGGGTGAGCCAGCTTTGAGCAATTTATTGTCTTTAGATGGGCCACTATATACTCCCTATTCCTTTCCCCATCCTGAAGAAAAAACATTACTTGGGTGATTAGGGGCAATGCATAGCAACCCAAGGGAGTACAGGAGTTATAACAGTCTGATGGGGTATGCATGTCTAGTGGCATGACTGGGGAAGAAAGGCAGTCAGTGGGGTGGCAAGCCATCAGGCAGCAGCACCCCAGGTGAGCAAGGACAATAGGATGGCTTGGCCATGTCACAGCTTGTGGAGATGGCCTCAGGAGAGTGCAGACACCATCTGGCCACCATATGGCCTCCACATAGCCGGGACCTGTCCTTCCCCCACCCTTCTCTCTCACACTCTTCCCTGCCACCATGCCCCTACCTATGTCAAAGGACTCCCAAAAGGGAAGTTATGGTTCTTGGGAGCCTGTGGGAATGAGAGCAGCAGACATCTGGATTCTGCCCATGGTCTAGGCACCACCTGGCAGCCAGGCTGCTGCTGGTTCAACTTAACCCTAGACATCCCAAGCTGCAGAATAAGACTGACCTGGGATGCAAGGGCTTAATAAGGGTCAACAGCAACAAGTAGCTTCTTGGTTTCTCATCCAAGGCCCTGTTCCCCAACATTTCTGGGAGCCCTCCACCTCCCAACTCCATTCACATGGCTGCTGCCTGAAAGGCCTGTTTGGCAGCTCTGCCTTGCACAGACTGTCCCTGGCAGCTTCACAGGGCTGGCCCCAGGGCCCAGGTTATGCAATCAATCAGTACAACCAGACAACCAGGCCAGCCTGGGTGGAGATTCACACCAAGTTAAAGGAGACCCCCCTCTCAGCATCCTGGAGATGAGTCTCTGCAATTTCTTTATCCAGCACTAAACCCATGTTCTCAACCACAGAAGGTCAGATTCATGACCAGTAGCAGAGACGGAGGGAAAGAAACATGACCCAGAGACAAGGAGCAGGGTGACAGGGAGGCATGTGGCAATTGAGGAGTTAAAAGTGGGAGACCCTGGGACCTCGGGAGTCCTGCCACAAGTCTCTCCTCATCAGGAAGAAATTCATCAAAGCTGTTGAAAGGCAAAAGCAGCCTGTTTCTCTGCCCTAATAAGCCAGAGCCAGAAATTAAAGGGGGGGGGAGGGTAGACAACAACTCAGGGTTGCCACAGCTGTAAGACCCTCCACCATCATCCAAGACTTCAGGTTTTCCTAGGGTAATTGCAGCTATAAGCTGGGGTGTTCAGTGCCCCCAAGCTCTTCACTGAAGTTCATAAAGCCTGTTCTACTGCTGAGCCCTCCAGGAAATCCCAAGTCGAAGCAGCCCAGGCAGGCCTGGAATAGGCCCCACCCAGACATCTGCTCCAGACTTCTGGGGCTCAGGCTCCAGGCCCCCAGCTCACCCAGAACCTCAGGGGAAGGCTGCTCACAATTCAAGTCCCAGTTCCCCCTGGCCAAGCTCCACACCTGAGCTTTGAAGAGCCAGAAACTCCTCCTTAAAAACTCAGGTTAGAAAACAAAACAAAGTCACAGCCATAGCCACAGCTTCACAGCCTCTGCCTGCTTGTCCTACCACAGGGGTAGGTGGGCCTGGTTCAGTCCCCTGGACCCCAAAATGCAGTAACTGCTTCTACTTGGCCAAACACCCCACACTCTAGACTTGATTCTGTAACCACCAAGGAGACAATGGAGAAGGCTAGGCCTGACTCTGCCATCTCTGGGTAGGAATCTAGGGCTCAAGTAAGCATGTTCTGCTCTGACCTAAAGCCTGTAGCTCTGGTCCTCAGATGGCTGCCTGGGCCTAAGAGCCTCATTTGGAGAACATACCCTGACCCTATGAACAGAAAGTATTCTAAACTCTGAGCTGAGTGAACTCAGCAATAATGCACAGTAGGTCTCTTTGTTTTGTTTTTAATTATGGTGTTAAGCCCTTCAGCTGACTGTACTCCAAGACTAGATAGAATAACCCTCTAGAGGTAGGTAGCTGGGCCATTACTTTTGTTTCAACAAGCTCCCCAATATGCCCAGCTTGAGCATGCAAATCCTCGCTCACCCCCAAGGGCTCTAACCAGGAGGAGCCCCTTTGTCTTCAGACCCCAAGCCCTTTTGAAGTTAGGTACCTGGACATGAAAAGAAGCAAGCAGTTTCTCCTTCAAAGTCAACCAGTGTTAACTGGATTCTCTTTACCCCACCTTTTCCTCTGCCCTTCCCCAGAGAAAGAAGAGGAGGGGAAGAAATGAGAAAGAAGAAGGTGGTGATGTCAACCTGGTTGGTATGGGATGTCCAGACTTAAGGCCATCTTCTTTCTCACACCTAGTAGCCACAGGTATTCAGCTGGCCAGCTTGGCCTCAACATAGACCCCAAGGCGCTACTCTTTACAAAATATGGAGGAATCCATCTTCCTATCCTCACAGGGGCTTTCCCAAGAGCAGATTTTCTATCAGCTGCATGCCAAAGAAACTGGTCTACATAGTGAGTTGGGGCAGCCAGGACTACACAGAAAGTCAGACAAAAAAAAAAAAAGCAAAGAGACAGATCTCCTCAGTGCCTATAGGAAGCTTCCAGATCAGTTCCAAGCAAACAGGGCCAAAGGCTACTAAAATCACTGACATCAGTGATACACTAGGCCCATGAATCTCCAAAGAAAGCAACATGGGAAAGATAAACCCCAACTAGTATCCTTGGGACCAAGTCTATCTCTGTTCATAGCCAAATTCTTCATTTTCTTTTGAGAGAGGAGAAATGAAGAGTTGGGGGGGGTCACTATCCCCACCCCCACTCCCAGTTAGGTACCTCCTTAGAAATCTGATTCCTGGTAGAATATGCACTCCATGAGGATCTATTTCTGAGGCCTCTACTCTACCTACAGACACCAGCAGAGGACAGAGCAAACTATAGTGCACACCTTCAGACATTAGTAACAAGGAAGCTGTGGCTCACAGGCTGAGATACCTATGGTCTTGTCAAGAACCCGGAGAACAAGTAAAAGCAAAGAGGTTGGGTGTGGTGGTGCATGGCTGTAATCCCAGCACGTGAGAGGCAGGAGGAGTTCAAGGCCAGCTTTTTTGGCTACACAGCCAGCCTGGGCTACATGAGACCCTGTATCAAAAAAAAAAAAAAAAAAAAAGGGGCAAGGATACTGGGAAAGGATGAACACAATCCCCAGGCACTCTGGGAAATGGGGTGCAGCTCTCTGATATAGCAATTGTCTGCCATGTGCAAAGCCTTGCCTGGGTTCCATGCTCAGCACCAAACTGCATTAAGTAAAACATAAAATCCTCAAAACATCCTGGAGCAACTTGCACCAGAGCATTGGGGAAGGAGCCCCACATGCCGGGTCAGGCTGAGTTCACAATGCACTGACCACAGAGTCGCACCCCCGTTCCTCAACGGGCCTTTGAAGCTGCAACCTGAGACTGACTGCTCTTTTTCCAGCTAGAAGGCTCAGGGCAGTGCCCTCTGAAGCAGCCGATGCTGCTGCAGACTCCTGCAGCCCCCGCCTAGCAGTATTCCACAAAGCCTCTCTGCTCCTCCAAACGTAACTACTGGACGCTGGCACTAAATGGAAAGCCCATGCTAGACCGTATCTGGACTAGTCGGTTACTGGGACTGGGCCTTCTTCAGACCTGGCCGCCGCTGCCACTAATCTAACCTGGAGCCATCTGGGCCCCCTCTCCTTAGTCCCCCCCATGGCGTAGGAAGCCAGGCTTCCTTCCCCCTCAACTAGCAGCTGGGAGCCATCTCAGACACTAACGCTCTGCCAGTTCCCAACTAGGGAAAAAAAAAAAGCCAAGGCAGAGTTGCAGTGGGACCGAGGCCAACGAAAGGATAACCCTGTTTTCTCTTCCAAAATTTTCTCACGTCTCGGGTCACCCCCGGACCCCGACTCCGGGACCTGCTTTAGACTCTTTCAACCCGATTGCACACAATTCTCCAGATCCCACGGAGCCTACATCTCTCAGTTACTCAGAAGCCGTGAGCCGCGGAGCCCCGGGACTCTTGTAACTGCTCGAGCGCTCCACCGGAGAGCCGCGCTCACCC